CCCGCCCCTCTCCCCCTCACCCCACTCCTCTCCCCCTCCCTCTTCAGTCTGAAGAGCAGTCAAAGTTCCCTGCCCTGTGGAAAGTCCAGGGTCTTCTCCCCTCCATCCAGGTCTAGGAAGGTGAACATCCAAACTGGCTAGACTCGCACAAAGCCAGAACATGAAGTAGGAACAAAACCCCATGCCATTGTCCTTGGCTTCTCATCAGCCCTCATTGTTCGCCATATTCAGAGAGTCCAGTTTTATCCCATGCTTTTTCAGTCACAGTCCAGCTGGCCTTGGTTTTGAGACAGGGTTTCTCTGTGTAGCTTTGGAGCCTATCTTGACACTCACTTTTTAGACCAGACTGGCCTCAAACTCACAGAGATCCACCTGCCTCTGGCTCCCAAATGCTGGTATTAAGGCATGTGCCACCACCACCTAACTCACCTGTTACTTCTGGAGCAGAATTAAGAATCTCATTGGCTTTGTGGGAGCCTAGGCAGTTTGGATGCTCACCTTACTAGACCTGGATGGAGGTGGGTGGTCCTTGGACTTCCCACAGGGCAGGGAACCCTGATTGCTCTTTGGGCTGACGAGGGCGGGGGACTTGATTGGGGGAGGGGGAGAGAAAAAGGAGGCAGTGGTGGGGAAGAGACAGAAATCTTTAATTAATTAATAAAGAAATAAATAAATTAAAAAAAAGAATCTCAAAATTTTAACCTCTTGGAAGTTTAGAAAAGCATATTTAAAATTCCTAAATAGATTTATCACCTTATATACAAATGTTTCCTGTGTATGCAGTAGTTTTATTTAACCATAATTAAAACATGACAATTTAAAAGACTTGAGTCTCGTCAGATGTGTGAGTGAGTCTTGACTGGGTTTTGTGAATGCTACTCGGGAACTCTACTAATTGATCTACATCCCTATTCCATGGCACTCTGACTGTACAGTCCATTCTTTCAGGGCACCTTTAACTTACCCTTCTGCCATTCCCAGGCTCTTCCAGTGCCTCTAGAATCTTCCCGTTGTCTCCAGGGTTCTCAAGTGCTTCCAGCACCACCATACAGGGTGATGATTTACTGGATGATATATATTCTTTTATTTACCTAAATCACCAATTTTTATTAAATATATATTTTGAGATCATGCCCTAAGTTCATTTTAATACTCATGTACTAAAATCTATGATTCATTGAGCACTTAGCCAACTCTGTTTTATCTAGAGTACAATTAGTCATTCATTTATCTTTGTTTTATTTTGGCTGTCATTTCTATTTTTTCCTACATGCATAAAGAAAGTGTTATGTTAGGGTAAAAGGAATGTAAAAACACATGGCATGGCCAATCAGAATCAACCACCAGTTATTATTATTTACTTTGAATTGAGCTAATAACACCATTTTTTATAATGTGGGAAAATAGCCACATACCAAAAAAAATCTAAAAACAAGCTGTAACTATCTGAAATCATTCTCAAATGTCACACTGCAGTATCTATTCCTTTTTAATTTTGCCTTTTGTTGCACATTATGCGGAACAGCATTTTCCTTTAAGATTTAATCACATGACACGTATCTTTCTTTTCCAGATGCTTTAAAAGTTACATAATGTACCTTGAACTGCCATTCAATCAACTAATAATGCATTTAAAATTTTTAAATCTTATACGTTCAAGGCCAGCTCTTATTTTTTAATTTATTTTTATTGTATTGGTGTTTTGCCTATATGCATGTCAGTGTGAGGGTGTTGGATCCTGGAGTTACAGTTGTGAGCTTCCATGTGGGTACTGGGAATTGAATCCAGGACCCTGGAAGAGCAGTCAGTGCTCTTAACTCCTGAGCCATCTCTCCATCTCCTAAATTATTTTATTATCTTCAAAACTTCAAAAATAAATGATTACTTCATTTATTTTGAAGATAATCTAATGTGATGTGACTTTAGTTTTTTTTTTTTTTTTTGGTCTGTACTATACCAGCAGTGAATAGCAAGAATATTTGCTCCTAACAGCATCTTTCATTTCTCAAATAAGTTGCATCTCCCTAGTTCTCTGAACCATCATTCAAACATTCCCCACACAGACATGCTTTTTGTACTTTCCTCCCACCCTTTAGCCCAATGAGAACCTCCCACTCAACCCTTGTCTTAGGTACTGTAGCCCTTTCCTCTGTCCTGTGGCTCAATGACAACATACCCTGCTCTGCCAGCTGTCCTCAAGTTGTGAAGGAGTGAGTAGTTACTTCCATAGTTCAAAGCAAAGGAAGAAAGCTGATTCCCTGGGTAAAATCCAAGGTGAGGCAAGAATGAGAAAAGAGACACGAATGAGTCATGCTGACAGTCAATACAGATAAACACAGATGTTTGTGGACAATTATTTCACAACTTACACAACTTTATTATTTTTTTCTTCAGGGTCATCCGGGCTCATACAAGACACCTCAATTCTGATTCAGTTATGGGAGCTTCGCAAAAGTCCTTCTTCCAAAAATCTGGACACGACAGAAAGGATGTTCATAAAGATCTAAGTACAGAAAAAGTCATATAAATACTTAGAAAAACAAGGCACATAAGTCAGCTCTTAATGTTAGGAAACGCCATCCTTTCCTTATTCTTTTTTATTGTTTTGTGAATTCTATATGACTACTGTGTTTACATCACTTCTACCTAACACTTTCCTGCCTCCAACTCTTCAGGTATCACAACCCCCCCCCCTCAACTTTCTGTTGACTTCATGACATCTTTTTCTTTATTATTCTTTAAAATACTCTAAAGTTACCTGAAGTTACTTTTAATTGAAAATACTTTATATTACCTTTAAGTAATCCCCAAACAAAAATTTGGTCACTTGAGCATCTTCCCAAATACAGCCTATCATTCCTCCTGACAACATGTTGCTTTCCATCTGTGCTGTTGTTTGGTTTTGACTAAGGTTTTCTTGCTATTTGTAATTTACGTGAGCTTATGTTTCAATTAATTAAGATGCCAACAACTTGAGAAATGCCTTACCCAGCCTCCAAACATTGTTGACATGTATACAGCAAGAAAACATCATCAAATTGTTTTCCAACCTCCAAGACTACAAGAATCAATATCTTTTATTTTTAAACCATTATGTCTATAAATTTAGAGTATGAAAACACAAAATAAACAAAGATACTATGTCTTGTCCATAATAGATATGTGCAGAGACCAGTAAGTACAATAAATATGGATTTTCATCTACTCACATATTCCCTGCATAGTATGCCATGAAGATGGAATAACAGCGCCAAATCTACCTGTATGTAGTAGGTAAGACCTAGTTTGTATCACCCTAATGTCTACATGAAAACACACTCTCCTCTCCAACCCCATCCTATGCTTTATCATTATTCCGCTCAAAGTCGTAGGAAAGGCCAGCAGAATTACTGTACTTTTTTATTGTTCACACACTTGAATAACCAGTATAATAGTGGCACAAATGTTATAGGGCTAATCAATGGCTTTCTGGAAGTATCTAAGTTCTGGAACACAGGAAGGTATCCGTGTCTGCTACAGTACACCTGTTCAAAACCCTGTCTATGGCTGGAGAGGTGATAGGCCCTGGAAGGGCAGGACCTACTGCTGCTAATTTTGCTGTTGTTGTTGTAGACAGCCTGTTGTCAAACCACCTTCTTAAGATTTTTGTTTTTATTCCTCAATGTATATTGCTGCTACCATGGAAATCAGGGTTCTCCTTAGAGTTTTTTTGTTTGTTTGTTTGGTTTGTTTTTGTTTTTCGAGACAGGGTTTCTCTGTGGCTTTGGAGCCTGTCCTGGAACTAGCTCTGTAGACCAGGCTGGTCTCGAACTCACAGAGATCCACCTGCCTCTGCCTCCCGAGTGCTGGGATTAAAGGTGTGCGCCACCATCGCCAGACCTCCTCTTTAGAGTTCTTAATCATGTTAATGAAAGATTTTGAAATGAACACTGAAGGTAGTTCAAGGACAAGTCTCTTATACTTTTAAAGAAAAATAATGAGGCATACAAGGTGTAATCTCAGTAAATGCCTACAGTGGCAAGATTAAGAGGGAGAGGCAGGCCTTTCTGTGTTAAGGTCCGTGTAAGCATGGCTGGTAGTGGAGGCCAGTGAGCAGCAACATGGCAATAGGGGAGGCCGGCTTCAGAGAAAACGAGGACTCCCATATTTTCAAGTAAACCTGGTTAGGTATTGGGACAGTATCAGAAAGAAAAAGACAGAAAGCAAGAAAAGGGAAATGTGTGATTTTTAATGCTCGAATTTGGAGCAGTGAGTCAGCTCAGTAGTGTTATGTGGGACAAGCTCTGTAAGTGGTTCGTGAGTGGAGGGACGTCTAGGAAGTGCAAGTTTGTTATTTCATATTAGGGGATGAGGCCATTTCCTTAGCTTCTCTTCAGCTCGGCCTGAAGAACATTCTCCCAGCTGAAGATTGTAGACCCGGATGAATTTTAAGAATGGCAGCAATAGTATGTAGTGCTCTAAACTTCGGAACTAATTAGACTATCAGTCTCCACCAAGGACCAGAGGTGGAAATCAGATTCTTTTTACCAGAAGGAAGTCGTTTTCCCATAGTGATTACCTTTATCCCTGAAAAGGGCCGACTTTATTACAGGCAAGAGGAAAGCTGATGCCACAGTGCTTTTTCTTGATTGGAGGTTCAGGTGGTCTATTCATAGCAACATTATAGTCTGGGACGTTCAAGGCTTGGGAATTAACAAAGGAGAGACTGTTGCATGGTGCACTAAAGCCAAAAGTGATTGTACCTCAGGTTTTCTTTCAAACACATTCAAGTGCAGCTGACAAACTGACACGGCCAAGTTCTCCTGCTGCAGCCTCATCCTGAGCAGGAAAGAAAGAAGTGGCCTGGTGAGTCAGCTTTTCCTTTTGGACCTATAAGATTTGTAAGAAAAAAAAAAAAAGGTGAAGAGTAACGGTCTCTGGCTTTTCATGGTAACTAAAAGGGATACAGGAAGAAACTGCTGAGTTTCAGAATCTGAGGAAATCGAAAGCTATGAACGCTGCTGGGTGGAGGTTCGTGGTTTCTTCTTCTCTACCTACAAAACAACACGGCTTGACTCACTCAGGAAGGCTTAGAACATGAAGTAGTCTAACCTTAACTTTCTGTAGATTGCATTCTCCAGTGCTCAAGAGATGTATTAGCTTAGGTTTTAAATGCACATGCACACACACACACACACACACAAAACAACTGCCCCTCCGACACACTCTACAGAGAGGAAGAGAAAGAATAAGTGAGGAGAAAGCTTGCATCCTACCCTGTAGAAGAGCTCAGAATCCTGACACCTCTGAAGAAACTTCCAGCAACGTGAGTTCTACCTGCTTTCTGCAGACATTCGTTACTTCTGTGAAAATCACAAGAACAGAGGGGAAAAACTTGCTGATTCTTCTGGGGGAGGGGAGGTAGCTCCAATCAGCAATGAACCTAGAGTAGCTGGGTTTTGAGGGTTCGCTCAGGAAGATGGCAGACATAGTTATTCCTCCACTAGAGAGGAATGAGCCAAGAAAAAATGCATTTTGCATATTTCAGATCATTTAATAAATTTCCTAAGTGTAAGCCTGAGCAAGTGGCAAGAGGAAGGTGTTAGTTAACTTGGATCAGAAGTCCATGGTTAGCTGCTGACTGTGGTGACTGACTGGGGCAAAGTCAAGATAGTTACAAGAAAAAATACCATGAGTGATAAACACCTCTGGACATGAAATGGAATTTTCTAGTATCTCAGTCCTATATGGCATGACAACCAACAGGCATGTGCAGTGGAAAGATGGTCAGATTCATGATATGTAAACACACACTGTTTTAACAATCTCATAAGCACATTCTAGATTATCTTCTGTATGATAAAGATGGAATTTCAGTCATTGTTAGTTTGTGTCAACTTGAGATACTTGGTTTGGCTGTTTTGTTTTTCTTTTCACTTTCTGATGGAAGTAGGGAAGGGAGTGGCTTACAGAATATTTTGAAGAATCTATATACCATGGCAGAGTACCTCATGTGTACTTGAATAGAAGCTCTTAAATATTGATTTTAAAATTATAGAAATATTGGGCATCTTGCTAAGTTTATCAGTTATGTTGCTAAGCTTTCTAAATAATTGCACAAAGCTTTCCTTATCTTTTTTACATTTAGCAGTTGAGAAATATATTGCTAAATGCACCATGAAATTCTGGCCTATAGTATTAGGTAAATCATTTATTTCTACTCCCCCTATCTAAGCTGCTGTCCTATCAAAAGACCAAGGCAGTCTCTTTATTTAGCCAATGGCTTTCCTCTCCAAGATGGACGTGGTTAGACTCATTCTGGTAAACCACAATCACATGGTGATATACAGATTATTAGAAATGGGTTAATTAAGATGTGAGAGTTAGCCAAGAAGAGGCTAGATATAATGGGCAAGGCAGTGTTTAAATGAATACAGTTTCCATGTAATTATTTTGGGGATTAGCCATGTGGCCTGGAACTGGGTGGGACGTGGCCTGGAACTGGGCGGGATGCGGCCCACTCGCTGCTCATCTTTGCAACACAAATGGCCCTTAATTTTAGGTGTCTCTCCCCATATTCCCTTGCATAATTCCTTCTCCCCTCGCCCTCTCCACTCCATCCATCCATCCATCCATCCACCCATAATTATCTAATCTATTGCCCTTTCCTAAAGAGAGCTATCTCTTCACTGTAGTCCAGGTTCTCAACCTGTGGGTTAGGACCCCTGTAGGGGTTTAAATGACACTTTCAAAGATATCCTGCATACCAGATATTTACATTATAATTCATAATGGTAGCAAGATTACAGTTATGAAGCAGCAATGAAAATAACTTTAAGGTTGTGGGTCACCACATGAGGAACTGTATTAAAGGGTCACAGCATTAGGAAGATTGAGAACCACAGCTCTAGTTCTTTATAACTATCCTTTGTCGTTCTACAGATTGTATCTTGATTATCATTGACTTAACAATAGCTACATATCTTAAATAAAAGTTAACAAAAGCTTTTACTTAACTGACTATGGCATTTATATTCAGGATGATAATTAATACCATCTTTGTTTTTCCTTTCCTTGCTCTTGCTATAGTTATTTCATTTCTGATATGTCTGTATTCTCTGCCTTACCTTTTCTTTAGAAGTTATGCTTTACAGATTAAGATGAAACCATTAGTGAACCATTACATCCTTTGCCTCAGCACCGCCCCAGCCCCTGCCACCAGCCATATATCCTTCCTGTTTCTCCTCCCTTTGATCAGAGTTTTGCTTGTGAGGCAGAGGCAAGACCAGCAAAGCCTGTGATTCTGTTCAGTCTTTACCCTGAGATACTCTCTGTTTCACTTATTGCTTTCTCACAATTAATTCTAATATCTTTTTCTATGTTTCTGGCTTTTGAAACAACTAAGTTTTATGGTATCAGACAATATACTTTGAGAATATCTTATTTTTCATTTTATCTAGGTTAAGATACTAGCAGCAGGGTTTTTTTTTCTTTTTTTGTTTTTAATTTATAGCAAGTTGAAAGCATCAACTTATGCCAGTGGGACTGTATTTTCTGTGTTTTTCTGGATGTATTTTCCCATCCAATGTATGATATCTACAGATAGATATTAATGCCTGTTTCCTAAATACTATATTTCTGGAAACTTCATTGAGATTGGGATCAGTACCACCAAATCAAGGCAGTAGTTCAACAACAAAGCATTGTGGTTCACATGTAAGTGGATTGCACACAAAGTATACAAAGTACTCATTCCTCCTGTATCACATATCATTATCTTTTGGAGATGATGTGTTTTTTCACAAATCATTAAAATTAAAACTTCATACATTTTTGGTTTTTTGATGTTGTTGTTTTGTTTGTTTTTTGAGATGGTGTTTCTGTGTGTAGCCTTGACTGTCCTGAAGCTTACTTCGTAGAGCTGAATGGCCTTGAACTCACAGAGATCCACCTGCTTCTGCCTCCTGAGTGCTGGAATTAAAGGCATGTGCCACTACCACCCAGCTTAAAACTTAACACTTCTAAAACCTTTTGGTTTATGACATAATGGAACAGTGTATATAAAGTCCATACACTATTGCTTAAGGTAAATTGCTGTTGATAGTGAATTCTAATCTTGTCCTTGAATCTTTACAGGTGATCTAGCTGTGATGGCTAGTTTCAAGTCAGCTTGACACAAATTAAAGTCATTTTTGTAAAACAGGACCTTAACTGAGAAAATGTCCCTACCAGACTGGCCCTTCGGTATGCCTGTAGAGTATTTTCTTGATTGGTGATTGATGTGGAGAGACCAATTCACTGTCAACAGTGCCATCCCTGGGCTGGTAGTCCTGGGTACTATAACAAAGCAGGCTGAACAAGCCATGGGGAATTAGCCAGTAAGCAGCACTCTTCTATGAGCTAAGGAGGAAAGAGTTTACTTCGGCTTAACTTCCACACCACCCTCTATCATTAAATGAAATTAGGGCAGGATTTTAAGGTAAGAATCTGGAGGCTATAACCCCTTCCTCACGAGTTTGTTTTTGGTCATTGTTTGATCACAGTAATAGAATCCCTAAAACAGTAGTCTTCAGGTCTGAGGGTTTAAAGAGTGCTCACTTTCTCTGATATCTTTAATCATCTTAACTGTCATATCACTAGATGGATTTTCATTCACTGTATTGGCCTTTTCAACAAGATGGTGCTTAACTCTTCTCAAAAGGAAATCAGTGAATAGACCTGGAAATGTAACATTCCCATTATACAAAAGATATACAAAACATAATTATTAACACAAATGACCCATAATTAAACCCATAATTAAACATAATTCATAACCCAAATAATTCCTAACCAAATGATTTAAACTAACTTGGATCCATCCATATATTGAGTCACCAAGGAAATATACAAATGGCTAATCAGCTCCAAACTCATGAGACTTTTTTTCAGGCATTTTGGAAGTTTCCAGAAGACAAGTCTCTTTTTTTTTCTTCTTCTTCTTAAAAGTTACCATGGGGAGGCAGACAGGAAGAGATGTGAGAATGACAATGAGACTCTAGTTATCTACATCCCAAAGCAGGAAAAGTGATAGAAGATCGTAACCCTACAGCATCCCATACTAGGTATAAAGAAATGAATACAAAGACAATCATTCAAGAACTCCCAAGGTACTTTAAGGAACGCTTTTTTATTTTTATTATTATTATTTAATAATTGGAGGAACTGTTGGAAGATTTAAACCAGACATAATCATGGCTTATAAGCAGAAAACAAACTCAATGAATAAATAAATCTGACACTTGATATCAAAACACAAGAGAAGAGAAACAAACAACTATTGACATAATCTTATCCAATAAATCCTGTGACCTGACTCTAGAAAGTATGTATATGTTCAGCACAGTAACAGTCATATGGACACAGAGGACCTTGAGACCAGCATTCAACACCATGGGAAGCAGAATGCCAGTGAGAGATGTTTAGAGTCAATTGGGCAAGTGTCAGTGCGCCCAGCAAGGGCCATTGTGCTGTAGCCGATCAATATTCATGCATACGGTAAGAAGACGAAGCCCCTTTGTACAAAAGGCACTTCAGCCAAGAGTGTGAGAAGAGTAAGGAACCCCCTGGCAGATAGCCAGAGATAGGCTACAACATCAGTGAATATTAGAAAGAAGATTTAGAATTTCAGCACTTGTGGTGGTGTAAATGAGAATGGTCCCCATAGGCTCATAGATTTGGATGTCTGGTCACCAGGATTTGAAGGGTGGCCTTGTTGGAAGAGATGTGGGGCCTTGTTGTGAAAAGTATGTCACTGGGGGTAGGCTTTGAGGTTTCAAAAGACCAAGCAAGCCAGGTACAGTGGTTGTGTTTTCCTAATGCCTATGGATCAAGATGTAGAACTTTCAGCTGTTTCTCCAGCACTATGCCTCCCCGAATGCTGCCATGCTCCTCACCATGATGATGGATGAACCTCTGAAATTTTAAGCAAGCCCCAATTAAATGGATTGCTTTATAAGAGTTTCCACAGTCATAGTGTCTCTTCACAGCAACAGAAACCCTAAGACAACACTCATAACCCATACTCTAAATGCTGTGGCAATTTTTTATTTCCACTTTCATCTATCAAAAACCATGGCAGACCTGGGTCAAGAACTGTTGTTAACAGGGAAGAATTTTCTAGACTTATTTTTTATCATATTAGTTCTACACTAATTTTGCAAAGTGGTACATCTGGTCATTAACTCTATTTCTCATAAATGCAACAATGGCCACTGTGGCACTGGTCATTCCCTCACCCAGGAGTATCTTGGTTTTGAAACTGTCTGTGAATGTGTGTAATTCTGTATACTCTTCTTCTCATTTAGGTTCACCCACAGTTTGAGAAATGGTGAATGACTACAAGAAAATTGTTCTTCTGTCAGGACTAAAGGGTATCAGTGACCATAATTTTAAAATAGTTAAGTCCTTGTTGAGCAAAGAACTAAAACTAAATAGAAAAGCACAATATGGTTATGACAGAATTAAGATCGCTGACTTGATGGAGGACAAGTTTCCAAAAGATGCTGGAATAGACACACTGATAGAACTGTATAAAGAGATTCCAGAACTTGAAGACCTTGCTGATAAACTCAAAAGAGAGAAGGCGAAAGGTAATATGGGAGCACCCTGGATGCCCATCCTTTCCTCAACTTCTCCAACATCATGCTATCTCTGTGTAGTGATCATAACTGACATGGCCTTTCACAGTGTGTGATTCGGGGTCTACAGAATGACAACATTTCACATGACAAGCATATTAATAACTTATAAAACTTCCTTCTGTTTGGGGGGTTGAATATCTTTGAGGGCATTAGGGCAAATAAAAGTTGAAAGAGACAAGACCTTCTACTGTATAAAGATGAGAAAACTATAAAATAAAGATAAGAATATTTTTAAAAAGTATTTAAATCAATTAGTACTAATGCTCCACTAAGATACTCAACATTATCTATTCAAAAAAGAAAATAAACAAAACAAACAAATAAGAACATACTCAATAATTAAGTGAATGTCTACCTCCCAGAGATAGGAAGTAATTCTATTTTATAAAGTCATCAGGCTTAAAAGAAGAAAAAGAAATGACTAATTTTTGCATAGAGACTCCCATTTATGATCCTAGTGAAACAGGAAGATGGGGAGTTTAAGACCAGTCTGGTCTGTGTAGCTAGACTCTGTATCAAAACAAACACACAAACAAACAATTAACAAATTAATAGATAAAACCAAACAGAAACAAAATGTAGGAAGTCAAAGCAAATATAAACATTTTGTCATGCCGCAAATTAGATCATTTCTTTCAATGGTTCTCTAAACCAGAGTGATCACCTACAGAAGATGGTTTGTCAGTGATTATCATTATACAATCATTTAGAGGCCAGAGGTCAACACAGTGTCTTCATCTATTGCTCTCTCTCCTGTTATTAAGGAAGGGTCTCTTATTGAACATGAGGCTCTCATTTTCAGCTAAATGGCAAGCTAGAATATGTCTACATCAGTCTGCCCAGCCTGGGATTCTAAGTTGCCCCCAGATAGCTGAATTCGGGTCTCCATGCTTGCAGGGCAAGGGCTTTACCCAATGAACCATCTCCCCCGACCTAAACTAAAAATTAGTAAAAAAAAAAAAAAAAAAAAAAAAAAAAACAAAAAAAAAAAAAACAGACTGTAGGATAAGAGGGTTTGGGTAGGACTTGACTGGTGGAAATAGGAGTCCCCAGGATGGAAAGACTGTGTCCATCACACCTAGAAAGAACCGTACCTGAGACAGTCCTGTGGGGGCCACCTTGGGGCCCCTTCAAGCTTCCAAAGCAGAGGTAGACAAGCATAGTGAGCTAAGCAGGAGCAGAGAGCAAACAGTACTGCATGAACTCCAGCTGTCTCAGACCAATATCTCTGAGTTTACTATGTTTTCTCTCCTGCTTCAGCTAAAAGGAAACAGACAGAGAAAAGCATAACTGAGGCAAAAAGACGCAGGCGAGATGAACCCAGTACTTCTCAACCTATGCCCACCATACATGAAGATTCAAAACCAGGATCAGGCAGGAGTACACGGAACTCACAGGTATGTTGGCTACGTTTCCAAAGGAAAATCTGCCAAGGTTTCTCCCCTTTTTACCATTGTGTGGACATTTTATTTGTCTATTTCATCATAGGATCTAGTAAAAATGGAGGTTTAGAGTAACCAGTTTGAGGCTTACTGGTCAGGTCTACTGCATTCTTTAACTTGTATTGTGTAATTCTCTGTGATGGGAATAAAAAATCATTTGTCAAGCAAATGAGATGGCCCAGCAGGTAAAGGTGCTTACTGCCTTACTGATGACTTGTGTTAAATTCCCAGACCCCACATGTTAGAGCAAGAGAACTAACCCCCATGAAATGTCTTCTGGCCTCCGCATGGCCTCAGTGGTACATCCACCCAAACAGGCACAGTAAAGAAATATAAAGCAGGTTAAATCATTGTTCTTCTTTCAACCATTGCAGAAATAGTAGTCAGTCAAAGGACATAGCACTTCAAAGCCGCTGAAATAATGTCAAACCTCAACTCAGGCTTTCTAAGTGTTGTCCTGCTCTTCTGACACTACAGAGATGCACAAAAAAGTGATGTAAATGAAATGTTTGTTTCTGTATGAGGCAATTCGACCTGATTCGCTGTCCAGAAGATGTTGTTCTCAAGGATGATATGTTGATTCTTTTGGTGTTAAAGTTACTGTGCTTCATTTAACATTGAAAACCATGACTGTGGATTCAGAATAAAGCTCAATAGGAAAGGAGAGAACAGCCTAGCATGCACAAGACTTGGGGTGTAGTTTCCAACAGAAAAAGGGAAAGAGAAAATGAATGGTTATCAAGAGAAAAAGAAGTTGATCACTGAGAGAAGGGGAAACAAACCCACAAAATATGAACACGACAGTTCTGTCATATGATTAAACACTCACCATATTATCAAATGCTTATATCTAAGTCTCAGTTAAAATAAATCGTTTTTCTTGAGAGGGTATACCATTTGAAATGATTTTGATCTCAACAGACTAAATCGGTAGTTTAATATAACTAGAGTTGCTAGAGGTCAGTTAAAAGACTTTAAATGGATACCTCTACAAATACTGAACTGTTGCAAATGCCTCAGGGGCCTCCCAAACCATCTCACATGTCTGACAGACTCCTTAGGTGTCTGCAGCAATAGCCTCTAACAGCCTCCTGAGCCCTCTGGTGCCATCCATTCCTCCCATATTGTCCAGGCTCCCCGGCTAGCTCCAGCAACTGCTTCTAAGAGGGACCAAGCCACTCAAGTGTCTCCAGAAACATCATCTTGCGGTGTCCAAACTTTCCAAGTGCCTCTGACCTCAGCATCCAGCAGTACCCATGCCCCTGGAGTGTTTCTAGCAATACCAGCCAAGGTAATTTTCTGTTTTCACAATATAACGATGGAGATTGCTACAACTTTCAACTAGCTCATTCATCCCTATCCTAACCCTCTTTCTGTTGCTGTGATGAAACATTCTGAACAAAAGGAACTTGAGAAGGAAAGGGAGTAGTTTGGCTTAAGCTTCCATCATTGAGGGAAGCCAAGTCAGGAACTCAAGGTAGGAAACTGAAGGAAGGAATTAAGAGACCGTGAAAGAACACTGCTTACTAACTTGTTCTTCCTGACTTGCTCAGCTTGTTTTCTCATATAATATAGGAACATCTGTCTGAAGTGGCACCACCCACAGGGAGTTGGGCCTTCCCTCATCAATCATTAATAATACCAACAACAAAAAAAAAAAATTGTCCTACGGACAGGCTCCAGAGCCAATCTAATGGAGAAAATTTCTCATTTCCCTCTTTCTGGTAATTCTACTTTGTGTCAAGTCAACAAAAACTAACAAGTAGTATCAACAGTGAACAGGGAAAAAAACCTGTCTCATACAGGTGTAAAGCAAGACTGTCACCATAGGATGTCCTCCACTCTCCTTGGCTCACACACATGCAAACATTCTTACATTTATATACATGGGAAGAAAACAGTTTTTAAAATATTTAACATAATATTTAATATATGTTGAACTGGCAATCAAGCACCAAATATCGATGTAAATGATTTTATTATCTGAAACAATCCATGAATAGTTTATAAAGATAATCCTGTGTGGGTATGATTTTTAGACTGTTTCTAGTCTTTTCTGGACCTGCAGAGAATACTGAAGACACCTGTAACTAAACTTCCTTAATTTCTAAACGAAGTGTATGATAGTTGCTCCTTAAGTCCTGTGCACTTTTCCTCAGCTGTTGCGGGAACTCCTTCCGCTCCTTCAGCCAATAGCCACTGAGATACCAGTCCATTGGGGCGCTGGATCCCGCTGCCAAAGCCACGACTTTAGTCCTACTGATAGTTTTTGGTAAATTAAAGACTCATGTGGTCACAAAAGAGACATATACAGTAAAAGAAAGATTCAAAATTGAAGAAAACATATAAATGTTTTACAATGTGCTAAAAATATAAGCAGGCTAAAGGTTAAAGTTCTTAAAAGTAAAAAAGAAAAAAAGGGGAGTAGTTGGGTGTGGTGGTACACACCTTTAATCCCAACACTTGGAGGCAGAGGTAGATTGACCTCTGTGACTTCAAGGTGTGGCAGGATACACCTTTAATCCCAATGCCTGGGAGGCAGAGACAGACAGATCTCTGTGAGTTCAAGGTGTGGTAGCATACACCTTTAATCCCAGCATTGAGGAGGCAGAGAAGGTCAGATCTCTGTGAGTTCAAAGACAGCCTGGTCTACAGAGTTATTCCAGGACAAAGATATACAAAGAACCTTTCTCAAAAAGTAAAAATAAATGAAATAGAGGTTAAAATAAAACGTCACAAAGATGGAAAATGCACAGAGAATCTTGATACTGTATGCTATTATGCTCTCTATGAATTGTTTGAATGCTGAGGAAGAAGCAACAGCTGCTAAAAGATGTTTGTTTGTAAGTGCTGCTGAACTAATCCAAGATAGATATTTTGAAAATACCCTGACTTCAAAATTTGGATCTAAGGTTATGATGCTTTGGGAAAGTCCTTCTTTTGTTTTCACAGAGGATGAGACCCTGTGGATTGCTTCTATCCCAATATGGTATGATAGACCACGCCCTCCTGAAAGGTTGCTGTGAACACCCTCAAAAATTATTTCACTCAACTGCTGGCTGAGATGAACCTGGCACACAGGTTACACCATAAAAGACCTGATAAACAGCACCCCCATACAGCAGGAAGCAGTATGGAGAGAAAAAATAGAGCCCATATTCCCAAATATTGATTATCAATGTTCTTTTATATTTAAAGAGGGATATGATATTGATATGAATAATTTACATTGGTATAAAGTTAAGGTCAATTTTGTTATATGTATATGTATTTCTGATCTTGATTAAGATATTGTGATTGTGTAGTTCATTTAAAAATGTAATGTATATAGGTTAATGGATAATCATCTATAATAGTCAAGCTTGTAGTCATGTCAGTTCGATTTTCTAGATGTGCATAGATATATTTTTAGATAGGCATTCTTCATATCTTTCAAAGACTACAGAATATGGAATTTAAAGTTTTAATAACTTAGGGCTTTTCATGACAATGAGACACATCAGCTCCTGGCAGCACCAATCTACTTCAAGAGGAAGACGGGCATCTAAGAGGCTCCTTATGGAGTTTAATAGCCATTTGGGCAAGAAACTGCTCTTGCCTGGACTACTGTGTAAACTGGACACAGAGAACCCACAGAGAGAGGACTGCTGAATTTGCCTAAAGGTGAAATGATCTTTCGGGGTTCCTGATTCATGAAAGAGTCTTCAAGACATTCTACAGAACACAGCAAATAGTGACTGAACTGCCTTTGAAATTTTCTGCTTCATGGAAATGTCTGCTGGAAACTATGAGCCTGTAGGCCGAAGATGGATGCCCAACGGTACAGAGGAACTTTGAGTAACTGTCCAGGCAGCGAGATATCTCTGTGATTTCTAGAGTTTTATACGTTGCTTACATCTCGTTTACTTAGGTAATATTATATCCTTCTGGAGTCTTTGATGGAGTTGAAGAATAGATAGATAGTTATAGTTGTTTTCCTTTGTTATGATAAAAGACAAAATAGATATAAATATTGTAACTGTAATTCTTACTTGATTTTTTTTTTTTTTTTGCTGTATACATTCTATGCAGAAACCAAGACGGAAGACTGTACCTGAGCAACCTTCTGAGGAAAATGGTCACCATCAAGGTCCCAAAAAAGTGACGGTGTTAAAAGCAACAGAACCATTCACATATGACCTGAGAGGAGAGAAAAGGATGTTCCATGCCACAGTGGCTACTGAGACTGAATTCTTCAGAGTGAAGGTGTTTGATATTGTCCTGAGAAAGAAGTTCATCCCCAACAAGGTCATTACCATCTCAAATTACATTGGTCGCAATGGGTTCATAAATATATGCAGTGCCACCAGTGTGTCAGAAGTAAATGATAACCAATCAATGAATATCCCAACTACCCTGAGACAAAGAGCCAACGCAACACCTAAAATCAATTATCTTTGCTCAAAAAGAAGAGGAATATTTGTGAATGGAGTGTTTATGGTAAATAAGGTAAGCCACCACATTATTCTGTAAAATGTCTCATGCAATCTCAGATTTTCAGTCTTACCTTGCAAAATGATAATGGTTAACTTACTGCATGCCAAAAACTAAAGGCCTCCTTGATCAGTGTTGGGGACTAGGGTTTCCTGTCTTTAAGTGTGAAAAGCAGTCTCAATATACTTCTCAGGGTACCATGAAGAAAACTGTTTTAGAAAGAGATTCACTAAGAGATTCTGACATTTTTCAAGTAATACCATCTATTTTTACTATGCATGGACATTTATATTAACACTTGTATCATTAAGATTTTGTTTCATTGAGTTCCTCACCTCCAATTTATTGAGAATTTGATGGTGAAGGAGAGTTGACCACTGAAGATAGAGTGTAGTGTATAACAACCAGAATACAAACCAAAGTATACTCTTCTGCACAGAATGCACTGGGTTGAAAAAGCTGGGTTCTTTCTTTCTACCTGTTAGGAATAGTAACAGCAAAGCAATGTCTCAGCAGCAGAATTGTTGAAGCTGCCTGTGAGAGTGGGGTTAAGCAGGTCAAAGGCAAAAGCTTCTTTCTTCTGGGTCCTTTTCTTTATGCTTCCATCAGGGATGGCCCAGATTTAAAACTGGGTCTCCTGACCTCAAATGATCTGAACTTAGGATCAGCCTTGCCACCTCAAATGATCCAATCAAGAATAATCCCCTACTTATGTATCCAACTGTTTGAGTTTTGGTTGACTCTAGATATGGTCATGTTGAGAGCCAAGATAAGCCACCACAGTCAATATTAAACCTTAAAAAAGGTTTACATATCGGGATTGGCAATGCAAAATATCTGAAGCTGTTTTGCCCCCCAGGTCTAAACTGACAGCTCCATTTTTCCTGCCTGAGCCAAGATTCTGCTGACCCCCTTTACTTCTCATGACATGACAGTGTCTGGCCATTTCTTAGAAAATGAGTATTACTTTCTTTTGCAGAAAAATGAGATGAAGGACTGCATTTGCTATGAAATCCAAGATAACACAGGGATGATGGAAGTGATGGTCTATGGACGACTGACCAGTGTTAACTGTAATCCAGGAAATAAACTTAGACTCATGTGCTTTGAATTAACAGATGAGGGTAAAGTGCACCTGAGATCTATGAGGCACAGTAACATGAAGGTATGTGCTCTAGGGGAACATCCTCCTTCCCAGGAATCATGTTTTTAATATTATAGTAAAACAACTGCAGGTATTACATAGGTAATTTAACAGGTAAAAGGAAGAAAGTTTTCAGTTAATATATGCAAACGTCCCTTTCTGTCCTTTAAATTATGATCATTTTAATCATAGAAAATGATGAAAATTCAGAAAGATTCTCAAAAGCCATTATGTTATTGGTAGGGTATGGGGACTCTCACTTTTAATTCCACCACTCAGGGGACTGAGGTAGATGGATGGATCTCTGTGAGTTGGAGGCTAGCCTGGTCCCCACAATGAGTTCTAAGCCAGCCCAGTTCCAAAACAACTAGCTATTTTGTCCTAAGTTAATTAATGAAACTGTTGAATTTATTAAAGCAGAGAGATTATCCAATAAGTATGTGACTTTTATTAAGAGATATGTATCACATTCTGGCTCTGTGGTTTTTCAAATTAACTAATGACATGAGGAAACTAACGATCTTAATCTACACCATAGAAATCGTGTCCATTGCTGAGGTTCATCAGCAGAGCTCATAGCACGTGTATTCTTACAAGGACACCTGGAGCAAATTATAGCACAAAAAAAAAAAAACAGAATCCATGCTCTTGTCCCTCTGATGCACACATCCCTGCAGGATTCCTTGTATAGTAAAGCCAGTCTAAGATTGTAGTGGAAACAAACGAACTATAGGAGCTGACCTCCTGAGTCATACAGTCATGTTATTAGAGTCCCCAGTTCTCAGGACCATTGTCACCATTCTCAACCCTCCTCACAGCTGCGGCACCAGGCACGTATTTTGCTCAGTCTTCCTGCTCTCCTGCCCAGTGAGATCATACCATGCAACCCTTGTCATTAAGTGTTGCTCCTCCTTCTCTTCCTATGCTCCATGACACCGCATGCTTTTCCACCTTCACTCATACTGGGTAGGAGGAAAGAGCTCATGTTGCAGTCTCAAGCAAAGATCAAAATTTGACTGCAGGGGCAGAAAAATCATTTAAAGAAGCTAGCAATGTGAGAAATGAGGGGTAGCTCATAGAGACAAGACGGTGTGAGTAAAGGGGGAGGGTGTGGCCAGCTCCATCAAAACCAATCTGATATCATCACTTTCTTCTTCAAGGTCATCAAGGCTGAGAAATGAGAAGCAACCACTTTATCCTGCTTCAATTATGAAACTTCATGAATTTTTCACTGTGGAGACTTGAGGACCTCTGGTGTTTATAGAGATCTAGTTCCAACTACAGATAAAGATCATACGTGTAACAGATAAAAGTCAGTTCTTTGCTCCAGAAAATAATGATTTTAATTTTATTCTTTCTCCATTTTTTGTATTTTGATTAGATAATTTGATTTTATAATGCTTATATGTTGAAAAGAAGGAAAGCCTTTTACTCTGAATCAAGTACTTCTGCAATTTCTTCCATTTGTTACTTGCTTTAAAAACTTGATCATTCCTGTTCATTCCTCTCCCCACTCCGCATCCACAATAGGATGTCTATTCTATTTCCCATCCACAGTGAAATTTGTGTTTTCTGCCCTTGAGCTTTCCTTGATACTAGGCTTCTCTGGGTCTGTAGATTATAGAATGGCTATCCTTTGCTTTATGATTAATATCTACTTAAAAGTGACTATATACCATGTTTGTCTTTCTGTGTCGAGGTTACCTTACTCAGAATGATCTTTTCTAGTTCCATCCATTTGCCAAAAATGTCATGATGTCATTGTTTTTAACAGCTGGGTAACACTCTCTTGTGTAACTATACCATTCTTTGGTTGAGGGACATCTTGGTTATTTCAGTATATGGCTATTATAAATAAAGCTGTTGTGCAAATGTGCTTGTGGTATGGGGCAGCATCCATTGGGCATTTGTCCAGGTGGGGGGAGGATAGAGGAAGGGACAACTGGAGTTGGGAGACATCTCTGGTGGTTTTAAAGAAAATGAGCCCCAAAAGTAGTGACATTATTAGGAAGTATAGCTTTGTTAGAGTAGGAGTGGCCTTGTACTAGGAAGCAAGTCTTCCTGGGAATGACCTTGAGGTCTCCTTTGCTCAAACTATACTCAATGTAACACACAATTCAATTCCTGTTGCCTTTTGATCAAGATGTCGAAACCTCAGCTCCTTCTCCAGCACCCTGCTGCCATGTTGTGTCATGAGGATAATGGACTAAACCTCTGAAACTGTAAGCCACCCCAATTAAATATTTTCCTTTAAAAGGGTTTCCATGGCCATGGTGTCTCTTCACGACAATAGACACCCTAGTAGACACCTAGTGCAGTGGATACTCTCACTAATCTATAAGGGTGACCCTAGCTAAGACACTTAGCAATGGAGGATAGGAAGACTGAACTGGCTTTCTCCTGTAACCAGGCAAGACTTCCAGTGGAAGGATTGAGACACCAACCCAGGCAAAGACCTTCAACCTACAATTTTTCCTGCTTACAAGATATGTTGGGGCAAAGGCGAAGCAGAAATTGTGGGAGTGGTCAACCAATAACTGGTCCAGCTTGAGACCCATTCCTTAAGAAGGAGTTCACCCCTGGCACTGATTGCAGGGCCAGAACACAGAGGTGAGAAAGCCCAGAGACCCAGGAAAGAACTAAACAAGATTGGGGGAAAAAACATCAATGAAGTGATTCCTAATGATATTCTGCTATACTAATAGATTTGTGCCTAGTCCAATGGTCATATGAGAGACTTTACCCAGCAACTGATGGAAATATCTGATGCAGAGACCCACATGCAAACATTAGACAAAACCCAGGGAATCCTGTGGAGGAAGAGGAAGGATTGTAGGAGCCAGAGGGGTCAAGGACACCTTGAGAAAACCCCAAAAATTAACCAACCCAGGCTCGTAGACTGAACCAATGACCAGGGAGCCTTCATGGGACTAACTTAGACCCTCTGCATCTATGCTGAAGTTATGTAGCTTAGTCTTCTCTTAGGACTCCTAACAGTGAAAGCAGGGGCTGTCTCTGACTCTGTTGCCTGTTTTCCAGACCCTTTCCTTCTAACAGGTTGCCTCACTCAGCCTTAATAGCACAAGAGGTGCCTTGTTTCACTGTGACTTTATATACCCTGGCTGGTTGATATCCATAAGAGGCCTGCCCTTTTCTGAAGAGAAATGGGGGAGGAGTATGAGAGTGAAGGTGGAGAAAGGGTTGGGAGAAGAGGAGGGAAAAGAAACTTTGCTCAGGATGTCAAAAAAAAAAATAGCTGGGTCTGGAGATCAGGGTGGAGTAAATACGTTTCGTGAAATATTTATGCTTTAGGTGTAATATTTAAGGACAAAGACTTGCTCATAAAAGTTGTGTCAACCTGAGAGAAATCAAACTCTCAATAAAAAAGCAGGTAGAGTTTGAAATCCAGATCAGAATTCCAACACCAGTGTCCTCAGGAAGGGTGCAGTCCTTTCTCTGCTTTTTCCTGAGTAAATGTGAGCGTATTACAGAGTTTAATCATTGGAAATAAGAATTTCCAGAAGTGGATGATAAGAGTACATTCTGTTATTGGCAGAAGTAAGAAAATGTCACTTCCAGTTCTAGGGTGAAATAAGGTCAGGGAAGTTTTGAGAACAGGAGGAACATGCCCTAGAACAAAGCAAAGACAAAGAATTAAGAGAGTAGTTATGAGCCCCAGGGAAGGATCCCTGTGGTGTTGGTTACCTTTCTGATTGCTATGACAACATACCTGGCAAAAACAACTGAGAAAAAGGAAGGTATGGGTTTGCTCACAGCTTAACGGCAGAGGAGGGTGAGCTGGCTGATCACAGCCTAGCTGCAGCAGGAAGTGGGCAACAATATGTGCTGTAAGAGAGCTCTCTTTCTCTTCTCATATTCCGTCCACAGCCTTTGCCGGTGGAGAGCTGCCACATTTCAACTGATTTACAAAATAAAAAGCTCCCTCCAAACGTGCCTAAAGTATTACCTCCTAAACGATTATTGATCCTGTTAGATTTATAACCAATATCAGTAATCTTGGCAGTGACCTAACAGGGAGGGAAGGAGCAAAGAAGGGTGGAAATAGCAGCTATAAAGAAATAAGAGCTGAAGATAAATGTTGCCGTCCCCTTGGAAGTTTGTGTAATAAATGACTCCAGTCCAGTGATGTTGGAAAGTGGAGATTAGTGGGTCGTGTTTGGGTCATGAGGGCTTTATCAGTGCGCATAAATAAATTGATACTACTACAAAAATGGTCTTAGGGTATGATTTCCTGTTTTTTTTTTTTTTTTTTTTTTTTTTTTTTTTTTTTTTGTACTGCTACGACAGGAGAATGTGCAGTATCAAGCATAGGGACTCCACTTGGCTTGGATTTTACACCCACCCCTCTTCTAAGAATACACTGGCAGCTTATCCTTACCTGTACATGCTATGAAAACAAACCCCTCTATCAACAATGTACCTATAAACCAATTGGCAACCTAGAATCCTCAAGTGTATCAGGCTTCAGACATATGTATTTCAAACAATGAAAATAAGTCGCTCTCCTAGCAATTATTTAGTGATACATATCCCAGAACATGTCCTAATATTAAAAGGGAAGGTCTAACCCAGCCTAGACTGGTTTTGGTGCATGTATAATGAGACAAACTATGTCCTATTTACCATCTTATGGCCTATATATAATTGAGCATGCATGCAATTTATATTAGATGTATCATGAAAAGATACCTTTGCAGTGAACAAAATCCTATTGAACCCAAGCCTATCAATTAAAATAAAGAATCACCTGTGCTGTGTTCCTTGGACAACCAATCTTCTACCTCTCTTCAAATCCATAGCAGTAATTCCCAGACAATAACTGTTATTCTTGAGTATCTTCATTTATATGCCCTGTTGTTCCTCTTGACTTCATATTCCTTCCTAACCTGTGATACCCCTTAGCTTTAAATAGAGTTTGCTACATAATTTGAAATCTGGATAGGCCTTAATTTCAATTCCTTGAATAGGATGTCAAGAATCTGAACACACTAAGTTCCGGTGTCTTAGAGTTTCCATTGCTGTGATGAAACACCATTGTAGTCAAGAGCTACTTGTTCATTTCTGGCTGCCCAGCCCCAAAATAATTACGCAGAAACTATATTATTTGCAATACTGTTTGGCCAATAGCTTAAGTGTATTTCTAGCTAGCACTTATATCCTAAATTAACCCATCTCCATTAATCTGTACATAACCACAAGGTCGTGGCCTACTGGCAAAGTTCCGGTGGGCTCTCATGGGGGCGTCTGTCTTCTGCAACAGCTACATGGCTTCTTTTGGACTCTGCTTACTCTCTCCTCCTCTATCTGGTTGGAATTCCTGCATTGCCCTATTCTGCGCTGAAATAGGCCTCAAACAGCTTCTTTACTAACCAATACTATTCACAGCATATAGAGGGGAATCCCACATCAAACCATGACCAAAAGCAAGTTGTGGAAGAAAATTTTTATTTGGCTTACACTTCCATATCACTGTTAATGGATGCAGAGTCAGAACAGGAACTCATAACGGCAGGTACCTGGAAGTAGGAGCTGATGCAGAAGCTATGGAGGAGTGCTGTTTACTGGCTTGCTCGTCATGTCTTGCTCAGCCTGTTTTTTGTTTTGTTTTGTTTTGTTTTGTTTGTAGAACCCAAGTCCAAAAGGCCAAAGACTGCAGCACCTGCAATAGGCTGGGACCTCCCCCATCAATCACGAATTACAAAAATGCCTTATAGCTGGATCTTAAGGGAAGATTTTTCTCAATTAAGGTTCCCTTATTTCAGATAACTGTAGCTTGTGTCAAGTTGGCATAAAACTATCTAGCACATCTGGTAACAAGGATCCAACAAGAAATCTGACTAAATTCCAAAGTCTTTATTTTTTTGGTTTCCCAACATCCAGAACTGTGAGGAATAAATATTTGTTTCTTATAAATTACCCCATCTGTGGCCTTGTCGTATAAAAATACAGAGCAAAAAGTGTAGGAAAGAATGCATTTTCCACAAAAAGGTGTGGACAGATTATAACTCAGACAAATCTGAAACTTTGCTCACTCGTGTGTTCCTCAATGCCATTCCACGGAGATGAGAACAATGGTGCCAAGTGCACAGTGGGAAGAAACTGGCTCGTGTGCCATAAAGTTCACATAAGGACTCAAACCCCTCGCTCTCTAAGCCAAAGTCCTGTTATTCCACTCAAAGTAGAGAGAAAAGTCACTAGAACTGTTGTGATTTCTTTTGAAGTTTCAGGCAAAAGGAAAAGTAGAACAACTGCTGCAGTTGTCTCCCTGCAGTTAAAGTGGTAGCCGGCTGCTTTTGCATGGATTTGAGTTCCACTGCATAAGAGGGAATCCATGGCTGGAGCTCTGCACATGGCCAGAACCTCATGGAGCAGGAATAGGCTCCAGAAAGGAATACCCTACTTTTGTTTTACTCAAAGACATATTATCAAACAAACTGCCATAAGAATACTTGTGTACTCTAGAAAATAAAAGCTCCTTGTGGGGTTCTTAGTAGTGTTAATAAAAGAATTTAGAAATAGACTCTGAAGGAAGCGTGTGGACAATTTCATGAACATTTAGGAGAAAAAACAATCAAGCATGTACTTTGTAAATCTAGATAACTGGTAGAAGGAGGAAGATGGGCGAAAGGAAAAAGAAAACAGCATGCCTTTCTGATTTTTGGTCCAAAAAACACTCATGTATAGCCATGAGCATCAGCAGTTTGTTTCACAGCAAAAAAGGAGGCAGGTTTAAGGGGAACAACAAAACACAGAGAGTGTCATAGAAAATGCTTAGACTTTGGGGCACTATTCAAGTAAAGAGATAGAAAGGAAAAAGGAAATATTATGTTCTATAAAGTTAAAACCTAGAAAAACAGGAAGGTCCAGGCTTCACAGTGTTACTTGGTAGATTTGATATAAGTGACTGCATCAAGGGAGAAACTTCAATAAGTACAAGCCTTTCATCACATTAAGGAAATAATTAATCCTGCCATCTTCTTTGCACATCTTTGAATAAATCAGGTCTCCCCGAGGAGTAGTTTCCTGGTCAGGTGATTGATAGGCCTTGATGTGTGTGGAGCTTGAAGTTCCTTGTGTCCACAGATAGCCAGAAAAACAGGATAGGTAAGCCCACAGGATTATCTTCTCAAAGGAATGCATTTAAAACCTGTTTTTTTTTTTCATTAAGAAATCTGGGGATTGGAGGTAATTAACACTCTGGTGGTCTGTGTTACCTATTTGTCCAGGCTATATCAAGCTCCTATAACCAGGATCAGAGATGGCTAGTAATCTAAGTGACCATTAAATACTTTTGGGCTCCCCAAGTTCCTACAAGGACTAGAGATAGCTAATAGCCCAGATGGTCTCTTTGTTATCTGTATGATGGAGTCTAGGCCAGATACTTCCCTGGAACCTTAAGCTAATGCAGGTAGCCTATCCCCAGAACACATTGTCTTCTTGGAAGAATTGGCATACACCTTCTGTTGAGTTTCAGTGTAATTATGTCTCCTTGTGCACAAAGAATTATATTGCACCAGGAAACTTTGCCCCCAAACTATACTGTTCTTAAATTTGTTGGAAATAAACTTCCTGTCAGCAGACCCTTAGAGGGTTGATTGAGGCTGACAAAGTCAATCTGCATGAGTTTTCAGTCTCACCTCTTCATAGACTGTTGCCTGTTTTGACACCTGCAGAGAACTCCACATCAGTGGTTGGATTAATTCATAATGGAAGAAACAATGCTATATAATTTTCTGATCTTTGAAGCAAATCAAAACATCATCTCTTCACTCAGGCAGAAGTATAACTTAACCATACTTTTAACTAGGAAAAAAAATGGCTTTCCTTTAATGGACCTCTACAAAACCTTGATTGTTCTATCTTTTCATATGTTTTTTTTAAATCCTAAGGAGAAATATTTGTTATGTTAACCTTTATAGGGCTACCAGAGAAATAGGACATGGAATCCAAAGCTTTCCATGAGGGAGGGGTCACTGCTACTCCCCATAGCACTGATGTTTAGCCTTGGCGTTCTAGTTTCTTCTCTATTGCTGTCATAAAGCTCTCTGAGCAAAAGCTACTTGGGAAAGAAAGGGTCTATTGGTTTACACTTTCAGGTAATAATCCAGCATTGAAGAAAGTTGGGCCAAGAACTTAAAGTAAGTACTCCAAGAAGAAACAACAACAAACTGCTCATCTCTGGCTTTCTCTCTTGCTTGCTCCCTTGCTCGTGTTTAGCTTAATAATTTTTATATAACCTAGGGCTTCAGAATGGTGTTACCTACTGGGTTGGGTCCTGGCACATCAATTAATAATCAAGGCGATCTCTCACAGACATGCCAACAGGACAACCTACTGTAGGCATTTCCTCCACTGAGGCTTCTCCTCTAAAATGATGGATTCTAGGCTGTGTTGACAATTAAAACCAAGCAGGGCACATGGTCAGAGAATCCTCTTTGTGAAGAAGAATGACCTTTAGTGCAAAGACTCATAAATGGTCCAACAGCTGAGTGGACCATAAGCTGTGGGGTGCTTAGCCCTATGTATCACATTTCTATCACCTCCTCCTATGCTCAGAAAATATTGCTGATAGAAGGGTGGTAAAGAATACAAGATCTGAGGAGAGTGCTGCAAAATGTTATGTCCTAAACATGATCCGGCTGCTGCATTCATGAAATCATAGGTTACCTACATAAGAAGAACATGAGATTTGTCCTACTCAACATTCCAACATAATAACGAAGAGGCTTGGGAATTCCTAACACACTCTGGAGTGTCATTGCTAGTGGCTGCTGGAGCAGCAGCTTCAAGGCCTTAGTCACTGGTTAGTTGTCTATGACTCAGTCAGTAATGCTCACCCATTGTTATCAAGCAGCCCTGAGTAGACTCAGAGAGTGATACAAGTCATACGGGAAAGCAGGAAGAAAAATTATTGAAAGAAGCAGTTCAGTAGAAATGAGAGGGTGATAAGAAGGGTAGTGGGAGTGTATGTGATCAAAATACAATCTATAAAAGTAAGACATTTTAAATTTCAAATTAATGTTTTTTAGAAAGGAAAACAAAACTATAGCCCGCCATAAAACTGCAGAAAATGAACAATTGAGAGAATCATTCAAGCAGAGAAGGATTGCCACGGTTGGGAAAAATGAGTCCAGATACAGATATA